TAGAGGGTGATGCATCCATACAGGTAAACTGGGCTGAAACCATTTAGCCTATAATTCCCTAAAGCCAGCACTTTGTATTTTGCTCAGCAGCAGATTTGGTGTGGTACCATAGCTTTCTGGCTGAGAATTCAAAATTGACCTCCTTAAATTACAACTTCCAATAATCCATAGGTAGTTAAAGTGGAATCATAGGGCTACAATTGTATAATGTGAAAGGGTCTTCAACTTTCACCTTTAAGAACAAAATAAATATTTCATTTTTTTAAAAAAAAGTCACATTTTAATGAGGATGTAGGCATGAGACATAGGGTCCAACAAAGCTCTGAGTGTATTCAGATCTCTCCTTCCTCACCAACCAGTTGTAGCTGATCTTGATCCATATATTTGGAATAAAGGAAACCAACTTTTAGCTGACTTGTAGTCTGCCATTTCATTTGATATCAGACCACACTAAGACCTGGAAGCATCTTCTGATTTGTAACCCAACTGAAACCACAGGGACGAACATTTAACTAATTCAGCTTAAATGTAACTATGATCCAAAACAGATATTTCATTATATTAATTAGGTTTGTCACATGGCTCCTCAGACTCCATTAGCAGGAAGGTTATTCATGGTTATCGGATATTAGCATGTTGTGAAGTGCTCAAATAGACACCTTCCCAGGATATGCATGCAATTAATTAGGGAAGGTTCTTTGCAAGATAGATAGGAAAAAGAGAAAACAGCCTTTGGCAGAGTGAGTGCTTTGGTGCATTAATGAGGTAATATAATGAAGTGATGGTTTTCTCTATAGGAAAGATTACAGCCCTGGCCATTAGATAGGTTAAGGCTAAACTAGATGTGATATTAAAGGTGGCATTTGGTTAATGAAAAACAGGTATAAGTTCTGCCTCTTTTGGTAATTCAGAGCCCCAACAAAAGCTACACGATGAACAAAGGCCCCAAAGTACTTGCCTTCCTCTTGGTGGCATCTTGTTTTGGTCATTTAAAGGCCAGTTGGAGAGCAAGGACCACTCCTGTGGCCAGTCTTGGAATAACAAAAAAATTTTCAGGATATTTTGGAGATGCTTTTGATGTCCTAGAGGATAATATTGTCACCGTACACCTCATTATAGGTGCAAAGCCAGCTGGTGTTGTGATACCTCCCATTCTCCACAAACTACGAAATGGCAGGAGTAGTGCTCATTTTATGGAAAGGGAGAGGGGAGACATATGTTAGTTATAGGTAGAACATTATTGTACATTTTCTAATACAGAATCTTGGGTGAAATGTGGCTTTATTCAAACATTATTTATGGCTTTGTTCCAACATATAAGATGTGGACTGTGTACATGTACTATGCCTGCCTCATTTTCATGTTGCTTTCCTCATATTTGCAATGAGATTGAAGATAAAGGGCCCTAGCACACATGCAGATTTTCCATGAAGGCAGGAAAATAAGTATTCTCACTTATGTGAAGATCTATGCATACCGGAGCCTTTCTTCTTTGTACTTTTTGTGGGTGTGGGAAACATGACAAAGGAGTGGGGTAGTGCTATTGCATTCCTCTCTTCTCATGTTGGAACCAGCACAGCCAGGAATGCCTGAATAGGACTTGTGTCTTTGCATTTAACATGGAGCAGCCATGAAAAGAAATTATGAACTAAATATGGGAAACCATTTCCAGGCAGAGAGCCAAATTTAATTTTAAAGTCACCCTGGTAGATGGTGGAGATGAGACAGTTTGGGAATTCTGGTAATGTGGGGGAGGATGATATAGAGGATAAGAAAAACTCATGAAAGCCTTTTCATTTTTTAAAAATGGAATGAAACTGTACAGAAGCTGGAAATAGTATCATAGCAATTCTGGGAACCTCAGTGGGCTGGTTTCAATCCCATTGCTTGTAGTTGTGAACACCTGTTTTTTAATCTTTTAGGCCATTGTTGAAGTCCTGTGACTTTGATTCTCTTTGATGGTGATGATATTTATTTATATCCCATTTCCCCCCCCCCCCCCCAAAAAAAAATAGGTCTGAAAGTTACCGCCACAAGAAGAAATGAGATTTTGGACAGATTATATGTAAAAGTTGTGACTTGAAATGGGGGGAGGGGAGCACAGTGGTGGGGAAAAAGGGGGAAAATGCTTAAGCAGAATAATAAGATTATATGTTAAAGAGGGTGATGAATAATATGTGATATGTAACTGCTATAAACAAATGTATAACAAATGTAATAACTATGATAAAACAATAAAAATATTTAAAAATAAAATAAAAGTACAATACAACTGCAAGCATACAAAAATAAATATTAAAACATAATCAAATAAAAGTTCATGCTAAGAGAAGAGATTCCTCTCAATCCAAAAACAAGCTTCAAATTCCTTTGGATTTCAGCAGAAGAGGAAAGGGACAAATTCCCTCCTCACCTTCTGAAATTCCCCCTAAGTTGATGTTATTTTTCTCTTTTAAAGGAGGGATAAAGCACTGCTTTTAAACTATAGGTCCCAACCCCAAATCGGCTCAATGTGGGGGTCCCCAAAAATTGGCAACAGAAAAAAGTTTTCTAAATTTCATCTTCTAGTGGCTGTTCAAGACATTTAAACAATCTGTTGTGCAGTGTTTCCAGTGGACTCTGCAGAAAATGCTTCAGCTGTACTTCAGTAAAAGGATAATCAACCTGTTTAGCAAACTTTGCAAATACAGAGTTGTTATCAGCAAATGTTTGATTGTATGCCTATTTTATATACCCCTATACCCATAGACACATAAATATTTCTTGGGCCAAAAGGGGTCCTGAATGGAAAACTTTAAGCCCAAGTCTAAAGGAAATTTTGCATTGTTGCTGCAGAAGAAGAAAGCAAATTAATACTCAGTTTAGCAAAGTTCTTGTTGTGGCTAAATATCATGGAAGGATTTTCATCAGTATGCAACACTGAGCAAAACAAACTGATTGTCCTATTGTCAAGAAATACATGCCCATATCTGCGTGTTTTTATTTTATTTTAAAATAAACACCTTTTGGGACTTGATAGCCCACCTACAGGCAGGTTCCTCTAAAGACAATGTGATTAAAAGACAATTCTGCAGAGTAGTAGTCCTTAAAGAAATTTACTGGGTGGGGAGAAAGTGGCCTGAACGAAAATCTACCAATGGGTTTATAGGAAACTGCTGTGAGCTTTAAGCAAGGCTCTTTCAGCATTCGTCACCATGGCACAGAGACTTCTTGATCTTTCTAGAACTGCAAGCTGCCTCAAATGTAGGAGTTGGTTGCAGGAGGGGGAAGGAAAAGGGATTGTGCAAGCAAAGCTTACACTTTAAAGCGCTTAAGTGACACGATGGAAAGAGGCATGATGAGTGTGTGCAATTATCCTTGCTAGCACTTAAGGATTAAATGCACTTGTTACCCACCTCAGTGAATTATTTCATTCCTCATAAAGAACAATGTTGCAAGGAGAAGAAGAAAAAAGAAACAGAAAGAAGACTGTCCTAAAAAGTAGCAATAAAAGCTTTCTCCACAAGGTTGTGACCAGAAACAAAGGGCATAAGATATGTCTCCCACTATTTTCAAATCCAGTGATTTCTAAAACTGAGAGTGCAGGTATTGTCAAAGAGAGAACTTAGCTTCCTTTGCTGTATGCAATCTACAAGACACATCTAGCATATAGAAAATAGAAGGCTCCTCTTAATAAATGGAATACAAGCAGGACACAGTTTTCATGGGCCTACTTTACAGCATTTCAGTTTTACATTTCTTCAGAAATACATACCTATATGTTTCATCTAAAATGCATACAAGGGAGAAACAATTGCATTCTTGCTTTGCTTGAAGAAAAGAGTTTATTTTGCCTGTTTATAAATGGGAGCATGAGGACAAAGAAGAAACTGCAACTCCTACTTCTGGTAGAATGGGTTTCCTTTATCCCTTAGAAGGGACATGAAAAGAGGAAAAGCTAGAATTTTGCATCAGAGGAAAGGATTTCCTTTGTGTACTTTGAGGGTATGTGTGAAAGCAGTAAAGAAATTGGAATGTTGAGAATGTTGGTGTTGTTGAAAGGTGTTTTATATCTGCTTGGGTTGGGATGTGTGGGACTACTAATGATCTAGTAGGGAAGGGTTGCCTAGCTTGCAAAAGATAAGCTCTGGTGGTTCCTGCTTTAAGCCTCCTTAAAATTGACAGTGGGTTAAGTAAAATTGCTAACTTTGCGGCTACTTCAGCTCCATAAGAACACTACTCCCCATCACTTTCCAAGTATCCTCTATAGAATTGCCCTTGTCCCCTTCCCCCATTTTACATCAGTTTCAATGTAAATCGCAATATAAATTGAGACTTACTTGTTTTGTTGTTTTTGTTTTAAGATCCATAAAAAGAATGTAATTTATCAGAATAGCTGAGAATGGAAAAACCTCATTCATTCAACCTTCCTAAATCAAAAGGGAGAAGGGAGATGTAGATGTTGTCACTATTCCTCACTATTCTTGCCTGTATAAAGCAAAACAACAAGAGAACAGAAATAACTACATCCTCTCACTCATGCATTTCAATAATGCCATTGGCATATTCCCTAAGAGGCACCTGTTCGGGATAACTTCTGTTCAGTTTACTGGGTTGCAGCTATCAAAATGAGATGATAGGTGTATGCATTTAGCCCTCAATTAATAGTTAGTCTTATGTTGTCTTCCACATCAGCCCTCAGTATTCCCTCATGAGTCTCCTGGGAAAGAGGAGGAGGAAAAAGAGAAGATAAAAAGAGAACAATGCAAACTTGGGGTCTCATCCTTTAGGATTCACAAGATTGGTAGTAGCAGTAATCCTGCCTTGTATGTACGTGAAGAGGACCGTTAGCTCGTTGTCATGTTATATAACTATCTCCACCATACCACACAACTTGGGTTCAATGTTCTTCTTTGCGAGTCATTAATCTTTGCCATCTTGGGCTTTTATAATTGGATTTCCCGGGTCACATGGTGAGATAAAAAGTCCTCAATCCAGTGTAACAAAATTGGGTTATCCATGAAGACTTAAGAGAGGAGGTGGGGGGAGGTGGGAGAAAGAACAGAGAGCAAGGAGAAAGGCTTTGATGCTACCTTCTTAGCAGTCTTGGACCAGCAGCCTTTCAGAAGACAGCTCCGGAGCAAGACAGCTCCGTAGAGCATCTCTTTTTTATTTGAATGCTGGAGGATTCAGCATAAACAGTTTTATTTTGCTTTCTCTCATTCTCACCACCCAACAAGGGTGAGTTAACCCATCTGAAGAGCTGGAACGGCCAGAAGATATAGAGAACCTAGGAGTCTCGGAGGAGGAGGAGGAGGAAGACGAAGGTGAAATGGGGAGTGGAGCAAGCGCTGAGGACAAGGAACTTGCCAGGAGGTCCAAGGAACTGGAAAAGAAGCTACAGGAAGATGCAGACAAAGAGGCAAAGACAGTCAAGCTGCTGCTGCTAGGTAGGCATACTGGTCCATTCATCTTTTGTGCCAAAGCTCTTTTAAGAAGGAGGGTGGGACTAAAGGTGGAACCCATTATTGGTGATAATGAGCCACTGATCCTTTATAGAACACATTTGGCTCTTTGAAGGCGTAGTGCTGCAGGTGGAATCTGCCACTGATAAAATGGAAACTGGCTGTTTAGGAACTTATTAATAGTATGTGTCCTTATGTACAAGCAGCCCCTGAAGGATTCTGAAGTAAGATTCCAGATATTCTGTCTCAATAACAGCAGGTGAGATGGTATGAGGTCAGTCAGAGCTTACCTGAGGTGGTGGACAAAATGGTGGTCCTCCCCATTCCAAGCATAGAAGTTGACTGGACTGGTAGCTGAATGTGTCATCAACTCTGGAGAGATAAGGGTATTCATGGCAAACTGTATGGCACACACAGCTTTACTCTCTAAAGCCATGCCATCGTTTGCTGCCTATTCGAATTTGCTACCTGAGGTTCTCTATTGGTTACAGATGGACTTCATGCCAGTAGTAGAAAATGAATGTTGAAATGTCTTTTCGTTCTGATGTGACCAAAAAGCTTATGGAATGGGAGCTGTTAGATTTCAGTACACCGTGTTCTGAGATAAGTTTGCCCAAGGACTAAAGGTCAAACATTGTGGTTGAAAATGCTCCCAGGTAACAGTCCACTGCAGATGGCCAAAGACATTACAGAATGGAAGAGGAACGGATTGATCCAAGTTTACTTCAACGCACAAAAAGAAACACCATTTAAAATAAGAGCATGGGAATGTCTCTTTTTAAGTTGCACCAGATGGTTTCTCATTAACTTGATGACTTCCTAAGACAGCCGATTAGCAAGAACGCAGATATCTCAGCCCATTGGATGTAGCAAAAGGTCAACAAACACCCTCTTCAGCAAAGCAGTCGAGGGCACCAATGGCTGTCAGAAGAGATTAAATGTTTCCAGGAAGGGATGAGAGTTAGCGAAGGGACATAGAAATCTGAGACCCGTGTTATTTTCTTAGGATATTCAAAATTATTTTCTTTTGCAAAAATGTTCCTCCACAAGAAGATGATCTACCTTGTAAAATAGAATTGTTGATCCTGGGATAAACAATCTCAACATAAAAGAATTTAGGGATCCACAATTCACTCTGCAAAGATAATGCTCCTGACAACTGTCCATTCCCCTATCCTATCCCAGATAATCAAGCAAGGACTATTTTTAAAACATTCCTACAGCAGGAAAATGTATTGTCCCTGTTTCTCTTTAGCTCAGTCAGCACTAAATACAAGGAAAGGGAAATCCCAGCTATGAACTGCAACTGGGAAGAAAAAATGTATTTACTTTTACAGCATGGCTTTGTAAGATAGCATTCCCTTAGAAAGAAGAAAAGTGTTCATCAAATATATGAAGGAGTGTCAATTGAACAGCAGAGCAGAGGATAGCAGCAGGTAGTCTGTACTTGCCTGTGCAACATGGGTTCATCCAGGTGACAGCAAGGAGGTTGGGATCAGGGCACTTAAGTCCTAATTCTAAGCAGCTTCCTGTTTTGGAATAAGCAGCTTAAAATGACGAGATGAGGAAACATACCATGGCCGCTGAAGAAGACTGAAGGGCAAGAGAAAAAAAATCACAGTCAAGAAAGACAGAAGACCTTAAGAATACATGCTCATAGGCTAGCATAACCAGAATGCAGAAGTTTATTGATTTGGAGTGGCATATAAATTGGTACCTGCTGGGTTCATACATCAGTAAATTTTGCAGATATTTAAGTATTTTTTTAAATGAGATCACTATTTTAATGGCTCACGTTGGTTCATCCTAAGGCTACCAATTTTAACTCAGGCTGGAACTAGAAATTTATGTACAGTTGTGAACAGAGAAGAGGAAATATTTATGGTATAACCTTATACATGTATTGTCAAAAAGGCTTTCATGACTGGAATCACTGGTTTGTTGTAGGTTTTTCAGGCTGTATGTTCTAGAAGCATTCTCTCCTGACATTGCGCCTGCAACTGTGGCAGGCATCCTCAGAGGTTGTGAGATCTAGAACATGGCCATACAGCCCGAAAAATCTACAACAACCCTATACATGTATTGTTGTTATGTGCCTTCAAGTTTTTCCTGACTAAGGTTTTTTGAGGGGGCTCGGCAATTTGACTTGTCAGAGGTCACCTATGGCTGAGCAAGGATTGAATACTGGTCTTCAGAATCATAATCCAGGACTAAAATCACTGCACCAAACAGGCTCTGTGCAGAAGTATACACCGTTGAATACAATGAAACCCACTCTCATTGAACTGGGGAAAAATCACAGCCAAAAAATATTATTTTCATTCTTTGCTAGATCACTCCATACAATGAAAAACTGATCCGAGGAATTCTTATAATGGGTTGTGTTCTGTCCAATATTTGCATGGCATCTTACAGCAATCAGATGTCACTCGGAAATAATTTTAAGCGTGGATATATACTTGTCCAAATATTTTATTCAAATATATGACTCACATTGCTTGAAGAAAGTAACCTTCTGTGGTGTGCTGGGGATTCAAGGACAATTCAGTTCATTACACTGTCATTTCCCAGCATGCATGAAGATCCCATTTTGGTAATCAATCACAAATTAGCGTTGCTGTAGAAATCATTCCAAAGGCTATGGAAAATGGTCAGAATAGGCATGTAGTGGATTTAATGTACTTAGGGTATTTCGAAGCTGATAGCAACCCTTCCAGTTCTCCAAACCAGCATTTTTTTCTGTTCCAGTTTTATTTATGCTAGTTTCCATGCAACATCAATCCCCACATATCAGAATAACTGGCAACTTTGCTGAAGGGGGATATCTCTACTCTTGTTTGCTATTTGATTAGATTTAGCAGGAGGAGAACACTTCCATCTCTAATTGGCACAACAGGAAAGTGCCAAATCTTTAAAGCAATACATTAAAATATAAAACTTTATTTAAAAATCACTGAAAGGTACAAGTGATTTGAGAAGGGTGAGCAGGGGTCAATTTAGGGAGGATCAAGGATTGCTGTGACTCCTGACAGTCCATGTTTCCTGAATTATTCCTTAGGGCCAGGGCAGACAGTTGTTGTTGTTGTTGTTGTTGTTGTTGTTGTTATAGTTATATATTCCACTTTTTCTCATCACAGGGAGACTCAAAGTGGCTAAGACAACTTGTGGCCTTTCAGATGTTGTTGGACTATGACTTCCATCCACCCCTTCACAAGAGGGAGCGGAAGTCCAGTAGTCCAGTAACATCTGGAAGATTTGGAGTTGCAGATGCTTCATAGGGATGCCCATACTTCTGCTTACTATAAGTTGCAGGGATCCTTTGAGTTTCTAGATGTTTTGAATGCTCACACCCACAAACTTTTGGCCAAAACTTCCAGAGTACCAATGTTCCCCAAGTCCTGAAACAAAGGGCAAACAGGAAAATATGGTAAATATTAATTATGGTTGGAAATGTTTTCGAGTTAGATCTCTGTTATAGCCGAGATAGGCCTTCAAAGCCTTCTCACTTCATGCACTATCTATCTCAAGAAATGTAAAATGGATACCTGGGACAAAATTACACAGCTTGCTTCCTCGGGACATAAGAGGTAGCACTCAATACATGCGATGACTGTCATGATGTGTTATTACACAAGTTGTCCTTAAGCACATTGGTCATGTATGTGACGACAAAAAGGGAAGAAGGACACATGGACAATGAATAAACAAAATCCAAGCGAGCAAGGCTCCAGGAGATCTGTCTTTTTATAAAAAGTGGCCATCACGAACACTGGTGACACCAAATGCATCAATCAATCCCAAGCCTTTTCCTTCACCTGAAGAGTGGATACCACAGTGTGAACTAGAACAAGTGAGGAAGAAACCTGAAAAGCTTCAGAAATTGAAAAGCCAAGTATTAAGAGGAGTGTTGGTACAGGAGGCTCTGTTCTATGGAAGAAGCTGTGTGGCTGCTTGCAAAGCACAGCATGCGGTCGGGGCTCAGTATAATAACTTGTCCTATATCCACTTCTATTCCCATGGTAACTTCCTCCTTAGTAATTATGTTGCCTCATTTTCTTCTTTTTTGACTGTGTGTTGCAGCAACACCCACAGCCATGCCTATTCTTTATCACATTTCATGCTGGGAGTGGCATAGCCCATATGGTTTTGCAAGCAATGAATGGAACAATAAAAAAATAAAGAATGCGACATTTCAGAAGACTTTCTGTTCCATAAAGATAGTGGACATCACAGTGTTCTTTCTCTCTCTCTGCATATAATTGCTGCACTGTTACACAAGGGACAGTAATCTAGTTGGCCAAAAGCACCACAGCTTTTCCTAAATAGTTATAGCTGAGATATACCATGCTACAATTCCAAGCATCCTGACCAGGGCCATATTTACTGGGGCTGGGGATAGCTGTTATTCACATCTGAGAAGGCATCAAATTAGGGAAGAATGTGTTTTGTTTTGTTTAAAATCCTTTGCTTGGCACCAGGGGGAGCTTTGTCTTCCCAAGGAAACAGCTGTGATAGGTATTGCACAATTCCCAGAAATCTGAATATGAGATTTCTTTGTGTGAAACAGATGCTCTAAGAAGAACATAGTGTAGGTCAAACTCTTAACATTTTTAAAAATATGTCTACCACCAAAGCTGCTGTAAAACACAGGAAAAAATGGGACATTGCCTTGTACTGAGTAGAAAATAAATAATTTTAATCCCTATTAGGACCCAAAGGGGAGAGGGGAAAGCATTTGTTCTGGTAGAATGCTAAACAAGACTAGTATTTTCATTGACTTCTGATGGCAAAAGGGAATATGTTGTTTATTAACTACTTAGAACAATGAGTTTCCTATTACTACTCCAAACATCTTTGTTAGAATTATATAACTAGTACAACTCTTTTCTGGTTGGTTGTGAGTTTTCTGAGCTGTATGGCTATGTTCCAGAAGCATTCTCTCTGACGTTTCACCTGCATCTATGGCAAGCATCCTCAGAGGTTGTGAAGAAAGCAAATCTCTCAACCTCTGAGGATGCCTGCCATAGATGCAGGTGAACGTCAGGAGAGAATGATTCTGGGACGTAGCCATACAGCCCAGAAAACTCAAAACAACCCAGTGATTCTGGCCATGAAAGCCTTTAACAATACATAGAACTCTTTTCTGTTTATGTTTGTAATATAACCTTCTTCAAAGTGATGTGTTTTTGGGGGGATTCCTGAGAATCACAGATTAACCCATCTGAAGCATAAGAGGTGCAGGGAGAGCAAAGCAAGTTCCTTGTGCTTGAAGACGGTTTTTCAAGTTCAACTATGAACTTAAAAAGTGGAGTTTCTGAAGTTGCTATTGAATAGTTGCCGTATGTAAAGCCACCCTGAATCCCCTTCTGGATAGAGAAAGGTGGGATACAAATAGAGTAAATAAAATAAGTGCACAGGACCATTTCTGGGACATATTAAAGTTGAACAGAGTTTCTTATAAAAGAAACTTGCCTTTGTCCTCAATATGTACACATGGGTTCCCTATGACAAGAGAACAACCTAAGGAGGAGAAAATGGTGGCATGCTCATTACCAAACATGCATACTTAAAATGAAAGGGGCAATCTCACCAAAATTCAGATATAGCCCATTTCCAATAGGTCTTTATGCAAGTGCAAGATCAACATGAGTGGGTCCTAACCATCGAGTTGACAATAGAGTTGCAGAATTAGCTCACATGTCTTAACACACATGTGCTACAGAACTGCTCAAATATAAGGCCCATTTTACATGGGCAGCAGAATGAGATGGCAGAACTGAGTGTATTGCTTCTGGATGCAAGGTAGTAGGTGCTATTTTGTAATGTTGCCCAGCTTTTTAAAAATCCTTACAAAGAAAATGGGGTGGTGCATCAGGTATGGAAATATAAGAACAATCTGTTTCTTACTGGTTAATTCCCTATTTATTTTGAATCAGTTTTGCTTCTGAGTTAAACATAGAAGAGGATTTTCAATATGAATTCCCACCTACAGTGTCAAATATTGCAGTTCCTAAACCACAAAGCAGTTCACCCTGATGCAGGTAGGATTTCAGCAAAACTGAAACAGTGCACAGAGAAAGCTGAGAAATAATGTACTGAGCCACCAGGCCCAACAGCAACAAGTTTTATTGACATTATCAAAACAGTTACAAACAGGTCCTATTCAGACAAGCCACGTGTCAGTTTTTAACTTTGGAAATTACTGTCATAAGTAGTTTTTTAAATAGTTAAAGCAGCAGTATGTAGAATGCCTCTAACTGTAGATCAGTGGTTTTCAATCTGTGGGTCCCCAGGTGTTTTGGCCTACAACTCCCAGAAATCCCAGCCAGTTTACCAGCAGTTAGGATTTCTGGGAGTTGAAGGCCAAAACATCTGGGGACCCACAGGTTGAGAACCACTGATGTAGAGGCTGTCCTGCTCAAAGCAGCGAGCAAACATTCGCCCTCACAAATATGTGGGACTCAGCTTCAAACCTGGCAGGATGATAATTGTACACAGAATCCAGAGAAGATTCAGAGTAACATGTATTGTTAGCACTTGCAGGAGGAAGTTAACAATCCTTTGGATGGTATATTCACTGACTGAGGTTGTTATTCCTTCCTCTTCCGGTTCCCAACCACACCAATGTGCTCACATCTTTTGTAACCTTTACCATCTCTTTCAACATTATTGAAAAGTCTTGTTTCTGTAACATGCATGTTGCTCAGGTGCATCACAGCTGCCCACATGAGTAGCTTGCTCACATCAACATCAGAAAAGGAAGTGGTGGCTTTCTGGAGATCAAGCCTTCACAGAACAGGAAACAGTGAAGATCCCCTCCTTTCTATGATGCCGTATTACATTTATGAGCAAGAACTGACATTTATTGGCATTGATAAATGAGGTGATGTAACTTCTCAACCCATTTCTAGTGAAGACCTTGGCAATGGAGGTAGTTTTAGTAGGAAACCGCTGCACTCTATCCCAGTGGTTCTCAGCCTGTGAGTCCCCAGGTGTTTTGGCCTGCAACTCCCCAAAATCCCAGCCAGTTTACCAGCTGTTAGGATTTCTGAGAGTTGAAGGCCAAAACATCTGGGGACCCACAGGTTGAGAACCACTGCTGTATCCCATTTCCACCACTGTATTAGACTTTAATATCATTCTGTACTGTATATGCCCTAAAAGCACCAGATCTCATCTTATATTGGAAGCTAAGTAAAATCAGTCTTGGTTTGTACTTGGATGGGAATACCAAGGAATAGCAAGTGTTGTAGGCTATATTGCTGAGGAGAAAACTGGCAAACCCACTTCTGAATATAAAAACACTAATATTACTTCTTTGAAAACTACGTAACATTTCTTAGTCTTTACAGTCCCGTTTCTTGTTGTTTCTTCTTGCAACAGATTAACAAAATTATCCTTCTGGGAGTAAATAGAGTGGGAGATGTTACTTTGGAGCCTTTCGTTCTCAGAATCCATTGGCCAGCATGACTATTCCCAGCCCAGAAAATAAGAAAAAAATGCAAGATATTCTCTGCCAGTTTGCAGAGTGATTGGTCCCTGTGTCCTTCTTCCATTCTACACAGGAATTAATCTTCTTCCTTTTCACTCCTTCCAGGTGCTGGTGAATCAGGCAAGAGCACAATTGTCAAACAGATGAAGTGAGTACCAGAGGTTGGCGCTGGGATACACAGAGCCCAGGAGGCAGCTGTGCTCTCTTTCTTCCTCTTCCTAGAAGGGTTTTTCTTCTAGGTGTTTGTTCTACGTACAGGCACTTTCAGTGTTGCTGGCAACCAGGCTGGGCTGAGGCAAATAACATAATGAGATTATGGAAGGATTAAAACACAAATAAAAATAGCATTTAGTTAAAACCAAGCTAGGGCAGCAGGGAGCAACTGTTTGCTTCTTCATCTGATCCTAAATAGGATAAGAAATAATTTCCTTTTCATGCAGGGTCTGATCGCCAATGAACATTGATTTCTGTGCATATTGCTTAAGTGCCTTCCTTAAGAGATCCAAGAATGACAGTTTTCTAAGTTCTGTGAAATGAGTATAAAAATAAAAGCACAAGTCTACTAGTCACTCTTTTCCCATAGGATACCTGGATATTGGTTGGATACTTAATATTGAAATACTAGGAAAATGCAACTCACACAGAAAGAGGTGGAATACCTTCATGGTACCAGTAACCAGTGTTGAAATGCTAGTATAAACAGTAAATGAACTGTTAAGGGTATTGCATTAACTGAAAGATCTGGTGTTTTGAGTTGCCAGAATCACAGAGTTCAATGGGAAGCATATAGAGAGGCATGCAAATTGATGTTAAAATTCATTTCTGGGGATGAGGAGACTAGATATTCTCCCTAACTTCCAATTTTCGGCCCAATTTTTATCAGCACTGAGGGTGGATTTACATTATAAAATTGATGTAATTTGATACCACTTTCACTGCCATTGCTCAGTACTATAGAATCATGGGAACTGTAGTTTTACGAGGTATTTAACCTTCTCTGCCAAAACCTGCTGGTGTCAAATTTCAAAGCCCAAGATTTAAGCAGAACTAAAGCCTACTTCTCATACAAGACATAATGAATTTACTTTCAGGTCTTCAGGCAGGTCATACTCTGGCTTCTTCTCTTCTACGGAAATCATTCCAGTACTAAAGAAAGAGTAGCAGTTGCCAGATGTTCTCTGGTTCACTTTCAAGGTGTTGCTTCCTAACTTTTCTACTCCTAACAGCCTAGAGCCTAGCTGTCTAAGGGACTGCCTGTCTTGGCATTAACCTACTTGGTTATTAAGGTCAGCAGGACCTTTGGCATTTCCTCCACCCATTAGCAGGGACCCACTTGTAGAGGAAAGGCAGTGCCGGATTTACACTCAAGCTAAGTAAGCTGCAGCTTAGGGCCTCAGATTATGAGGAACTTTTAAACATAATGTACTCCCTGCCTAAATATATTATTTCTCCTTTTTTATATCTCTTAGAGTAGTAAAGACTGGGTGAAAACACAAATGTTTTGAATGTATTTTGCATTTCCCCGTAGATTTTGGAATACCTGTATTGTATTTGTATATACATACATAAAGAATTATCCTGGCAATAAACTCCAAGTTTAAACAGGAAATGCATTTATTTTTTATATACACCTTGCACAGATAGACTGAAATATTTTTTGTGCATGGGTGCATGAAACAAAGTTGGTGTACATCAAACCACTATAAAGCAAAGGCATCACTGTCTCAACCATCCATATGGACACTTTTGGATTTGGGAGTATTTTTGAATTCTAGACAAGAGATATTCAACCTATGCCCTTTTTGGAAATACTATGCAGCCTCTTAGATGTGCTGTAGTTAAGGGCCTCGACTTGTCTTAATCCATCTTTGGGAAAAAGAGTTTTGTCTGGTGTTGCTCTTGATACGAAGAGCTCCCTCTGGACTAGAATTATGATGGGCTCTCAGTCTTTTTGCAATCAGGAAGGAGGTTGGGATACGTCTTTTTCATTTGGCTTTTTAATTTTTTCAAAACATATTTTTTAATTTTATTACATTTTCATTTCACAGTTTTAAAATTATTGTTTTGGGGTATTTTGAGTACAAAATTGCCTTATATAAAATAAATGTTTATAGTATCATGAACTACAGCAATTTTATTCTTTTCACATAAGTGAATTGCTGCTATCTGTGTGTTTGGTTATACACAATTGGTACAAATTCAATACGTAGTGTGGCATTTCACATAAAAGTTTTGTACTTTGCCCCCTTCTTTACACAGGATTATCCATCAAGATGGCTACACGGAAGAGGAATGTTTGGAGTTCAAATCAGTCATTTATGGGAACATCCTACAGTCGATTTTGGCCATCATCCGAGCCATGACCACTTTGGGAATAGATTATAGCGATTCCAGTCGAGCGGTCAGTATTAGCATAACTAGAAAAAGAAAGTTCTGTTTCAACCTGGAAGCATTATTGGCCATGTTAGCTAGTGGATTCTTGGAGCTTTAAACCTCTCCCCACCCAATAATTTTTCCCAGTTCTAGCTGGAAGAGGGAGTAAAAATATAATGTCTGTTTGAAGCAGTTGGAAATGGTAATGTGTTGATCAGTGATGCATATTGTCATTGATTTGATACAAGTGAAAGGAATAAAAAGAAGGAAGGAAAGGGGAACATGGTGACACCTAAATGGTTTTAATTTTAGCATGTGCTTTTCTGAATAGAAACCCATTTCTTTGAATGAAATACAGAATGATATCTAAAGGAGTGGGTTTAGAGCCACAAAAGGTTGTGCTAAAATAAAAAAAGTTAACTCTGAAAGTTTCTGCAACATGATAGGAGGCATGATAGCCATGTATAAGTATGTGAGAGGAAGTCATAGGGAGGAGGGAACAAGCTTGTTTTCTGCTGCCCTGGAGACTAGGATGTGAAACAATGGCTTCAACCTACAAGAAAGGAGATTCTACCTGAACATGAGGAAGAACTTCCTGACTGTGAGAGCTGTTCAGCAAAGGAACTCTCGGTCCTGGAGTGTGGTGGGGGCTCCTTCTTTGGAGGCTTTTAAACAGAGGCTGGATGGCCATCTATCAGGGGTGCTTTGAATGCGATTTTCCTGCTTCTTGGCAAGGGGTTGGACTGGATGGCCCACGAGGTCTCTTCCAACTCTGTGATTCTATTAATCTATCTCCCCTGCCCACCACCGCCCTCTCTTATTTCTATGTTGCAATAGATTGACACAACTGTAGTGGGCCCTTGGTATCCACTGGGGGTTGATTCTGGGATCCCCCATGGATACCCAAATCTATGGATGCTCAATATATAATTGTGCAGTAAAATGATCTTCCTTATAAACAATAGAAAAATCAAGGCTTGCCTTTTGGAATTTGCGTGTTATGTGTGCAGGGGTATTTCAAGCTGTGGGCACAGAATCCATGGATATAGTCAGCCAATGATAGTGTACACCTTTGAGACCTCTAACACATTTCTTTGGTCTGAAGCCACTATTGAATGATGCCACCTGGTGGTTTAACAAAAGCTTTTGTGACTTTACTAGTTTCTTCTCCATGGATTCTCAGGAACTCAGGCAGAAAGTTGTAGGACCAGGAGCAATTTCTGATGGCATCTTGCTGGTTTTTATGATTACATTCAACATATCTTCAACTGGTATAAGTAATATTGCAGTGCAAAGTACTGATTTGAAATGATTAAATTTGGTGGTGCTGAAAATGTTGAGATACCATCCATCACTTCATGTTCAAGGGAACATACAATGTTGAGCCACTGCATAGATCATTTCAAAGCAATTAGGCCTGTTTGATCAAGAAAAAATTTGTTTCTAAAATCGATTTGTAATTGGGGTGTTTTTTTGTTTCGATATTTAAAATAATTACAAAACTTTCAAAAAAAAAGTTTCGGTATTTACGAAATTTCGTAAATATTAACAAAACATTTTGTAAAGATGGGGCCTTTTTTTTCAATATTTTTTAAATATTTTTTAAATTTAATTATTAAATAATTTAGTAGAATAGGGAGGAGAAATTAAGGGAAGGCAGGCACTCACTCTGGCGGGCCCTCTCGCTCGCCGCTCGCCCTCTCGCTCGCCGCTCGCCCTCTCACTCGCCCTCTCGCTCGCCGCTCGCCCTCTCGCTCGCCGCTCGCCCTCTCACTCGCCCTCTCGCCTCGCCCTCTCGCTCGCCGCTCGCCCTCTCACTCGCCCTCTCGCTCGCCGCTCGCCCTCTCGCTCGCCGCTCGCCCTCTCACTCGCCCTCTCGCTCACCGCTCGCCCTCTCGCTCGCCGCTCGCCCTCTCACTCGCCCTCTCGCTCGCCGCTCGCCCTCGCCCTCTCGCTCGCCCTCTCGCTCGCTTGCTCAGCCGGCGCGGAGAGAGGAGAGCTCCCAGCAAGCCAGGCGGCCATCTTACGTATTTCCGAAATGGACGGAAATACAAAATTTTTTGGCGCCTGCCGTTTCGATATTTAAAAACCCTTCCGGGTTTGAAAATATGTTTTGTTATCGTTTCGTATATGCAAAAATTAACGAATGTTTAACGAATTAACGAATTAACGAACGAAACCGCACAGGCATACCTCTATGCATCTGATTGAGAGGAAACATTGGAAGTCCTGATGCTATCCTAGTCCAACTATTGTCCTATAGGAAAATTCCTCAGACTTTAGTATCATCAACAAATCAAATGCCCTTCTTCTCATAACATTCCTCAGGAGTATATTCAGACAAATCATGCATCCGCTGTAAATGTTTTACTATGCCCAGGTCAAACTTGATCTGTTGCAATTTGGACTACTTCCTACCCGTTCCCAAGGCCTTGGTAAGCAAGTGTGTTTATGTTTCCTACTGTTTCTGTATAATTTGCTCTGTGAAGGACAAAAATCTCTCAAAGGTACCAAGGATTAAAATAATAACTTCCCAGCTTTTTGTGTAGAGGTGGTGTATGCTTCTCCACAAGGTGAAACACTGACAAAATTCAATCATTTTTCAGGCATCTTTCAAGACATCATGGAAACGTGGTTACCTGGCATGTTCTATCTCTGTCTTTTTACAGGCTGATGGGCAACAGCTGTTCAACTTGGCTGACTCCATTGAAGAGGGAACCATGCCCCCAGAACTAGTGGACTGTATAAAGAAACTCTGGAAAGATGGAGGTGTTCAAGCCTGCTTTGAGCGAGCAGCTGAGTACCAGCTCAATGACTCTGCTGCATAGTAAGTCTCTGTTTGCAGATTCAACCCATTGAAGAATACCCTAATGGAGAAGGGAGGGTTTGTTAGGGTTAGACACAGGACTCCTGTGAAAGTGATAAAGAAAATAGCATTTTTTTTAACCTGAAGGATTAAAACTTTTTTGCTAGCAATTTATAGGTCTTCCACCACAACTTTATTAGCAACGTTTGCTGGATGCTGACCATAGAATCACATTGGAGAATGTAGATTGCTAAAGAGATGTTCTCTCTAGTAATCCCTAAGTCCTCCAGCATGACTGAAGGAAGTTAACCATAGAATCACACTGGAGGATCTAGCAATGCCTAGATATAACACTTTTAATCAAATCCATGGTTAGATAAATCCACAAGAAATCAAAACCGCAAATATAGAGGAATGATTGTACTACTAGTCCAAAGGAGTGGGGTTAGATTTGGAAAAAACAAGGCTGTGGAACTTGAGGGCGGCCCTCCAAATGTTATTGGGATTCCAATTTCTATCAGCCTGGCCAATGTTAAAGAATAATAGGATAAGTATTTCATCAGAAGAGTGCCACAGATTCCGTGGCTCTGCATTAGAAAGATCCTCGTGGGCCTAATGTTTATATGAACTCACTCCCTGTTTCCCCACCTTTGGAAACTCAACCAACCTGGCACAAAGCAAAAAGAGCACCTGGTTCGGGGCCTCCCCATAACATTTGAAGTGGAAGACTTGAAGGTCCCATCTATAGATGCTGAAATGACACCATAACACATCACAATGCTGGCCTGCTCTCCAGTTGTGTCATTACCAGAACGATGTTTTCCCATAGTAGAACTGATTCTGTAAGTCCCAGACATGTACTGGGCCCACAGATATGTGGAAGTGCAGATATTTCTCATCTCCCAAATTAATAGTTACTAATTCATACAAGGACATTCAATAAGCAACAGAGTAGCTAACTGTTGGATCCCCTTTTATTAGGACACATGCCATCAATGTCAGCATTGTTAGAGAACAATTGGGTAGACCTCTAGTCAGAAAAGCTAACCATTGTACAATGTGGTCTAGAGGAAATGACAAAGGAAAGGGAGGCAAGCTGTAATCAAGGAAAGAATGTGCCGTCTTATTTAGCTGCCCACACTTAGGCTTGATTATAGGCTTAGCTGCAGCAGGGTATGGAAGGAACAATTTGTTGTAGTACAGCATGGGAACTACATCAAGCTCGGGTCTTTATTTGTTTAATGCATCCTCTCAAGATGCATATTTTCCATATGTGCTGCTTTTGTTTTTTATCTAATTGTGTTACACATCTGCTCAGAATTAGAATTGTTGTCTTCCCAAATTCTTCAGAAAGGGACTGGTTAGAAATGGAACACATAACAGGTAAAAACCAGTTAATTTAGACAAGCTGTCAGCCTCAGTTTTTCAGTTTACGGCACAAAGAGAAGGAAAAAACTCAGGGAAGGGATGATGGGACATTTCTAGATTAGTACTCCTACACAGATACACAAGTCAGTTACAATTTTTTACTGACCTCAGACATGGTGCCTGTAACCGATTTAGGATAAAAAGCAGAACAAGGCAGATATATTCTACCAATGTTCTGTGCATTTTCTAATCCAAAATCAAAATAAAATTTCAATTATCAGTAACTTTATTACTAGGACGTAGATCCTGCTTCAATGAAGTTGCTGCATCACTGTCTAATGGAGATAGTTCATTGTTCCGATAATAATAATGATCTTCCCCAACCTATGTTGATTAAATACCAGTAACCAACATATCAGCCAGGAGCCCCCGGTGGTGCAATGGGTTAAACCCTTGTGCCGGCAGGATTGAAGACTAACAGGTCGGAGATTTGAATCCAGGGAGAGCGCGGATGAGCTTCCTCTGTCAGCTCCGGCTCCCCATGCAGGGACATGAGAGAAGCCTCTCAAAAAGGATGGTAAAACATCTGGGCATCCCCTGGGGAACGCCCTTGCAATTATCTCACACCAGAAGCAACTTGCAGTTTCTCAAGTTGCTCCTGACACACGCAAAAAACCCTCCCCCAACATATCAGCCAACTAAAACATGACTTTTTTTTTACTTACACTGCTCTGAATGCACTTCAATTTCTAGAAGTAGTTGAAAACATTAAGAACCAACCATGCAAACTATGTTCACAGAAGACAGTTGCACTTCTTCCAGCTTCTCACTGGCATAATTGATCAAGAAACTGTCTTTTTGCTTTTTATTATCATTACATTAAACATTTGAACACCAACCTATTGAATCTATGTAAGGATGCTTTCTAACAGAAGCAATCAGCTGTAACTGTAACTAGATCTGAACAAACAAAACAATACAATACATTGCATAAAAAATAACTCACACAATGCTTACAGTAAACTAAAGTAAACATACTGGTAAATGTTTTCATGTCTTTTACGTCACTAATTACAAAAAGCTAACCACGTCCACGTCAAACTCATTTTTAATCCATTACAAACTAATTTGGTACATGAAGAATAATATAATCAATCATTTCCTATGGGGTTTTCTGTTTTTGCTTTGTGCCTTCAAGTTGGTTCTCACTTATGGAGCCTTTAAACCTATCCCAGGATTCTCTTGGTAAGATTTTGTTCAGAGCCTTCCTCTCTGAAGCTGAGACAATGTGGTTTGTCCAAAGGCACCTCGTGGGTTTCCATGGCTGAGTAGGAATCCAAATCTTGGTCTCTAGAGTCATAGTCCCATTTACAGAAGGCAATACATTCACGGTATTGGATCATATCTATCTTGTCTGTGTCTTTGGGGTGCCATTCTTCAGCCAGAATTCTGCAGCAGTTTGAATCTGTAAGATTCAAACTCTATTAAGGCTCTAGAAAACTTTTGCTGAGAAAGTTTACCTCACCTTATAAATTGTGAGATTTTATCAATGTATGAATGGAAATGTTGAACTACTGCTTTGCTTTTTTGTACACAGCTACCTGAATCAACTGGACAGGATCACAGCTCCTAACTACCTCCCCAATGAACAGGACGTATTGAGATCACGAGTCAAAACCACAGGTATCATAGAGACAAAGTTCGGTGTCAAAGACCTCAACTTCAGGTGAGCAACCCAATATCTTATGTGAAAACCTTGTTGTCTATCTAACTTGTTCCATTTACTCTGCCAATGATTGGCTTCTTGTGTTGTTAACTCTTTTTTTGCACTCAAATTTGTAAGGTCCTGCTCAGTGCATTTTTGCTGAATGAAACACAGCACAACCTATTGGTGGCCCTGAAGCCTATTTGGTCCCAACATTTTTGTCAGGCACTAGGCAGACCTAGTTTTTCAAAAGACCTTCTGCACCAAAGGGTTTAATTTTTTTACTACTTTTCTTCTGAGGCAATAACAGTTAGTGATTCCATCTTATTCTGTTTTGTTACCATTTCTTTCAGGGGTTATTGCTATTTTTTTTTGTGGTAGTTTCATGTTTACCATTTCAGAGACTTGCTCTTAGCTCTTTCAGTGAAGAAGAAATAAGGTATATATTTTCTCAGGTGTAGTAGTTTGAATGTCGGATTAGGACTCCCAGCAGAGCTGGGTTCAATTCCCTCCTAAGCCATGGAAACCCATTACATTACCTTGGGGTAAGTCTCAGTCTCAGATGAAGGAAATGAAAATGAACTTCTGAATAAATCTTGCCAGGAAAATCCCATGACAGGGTCACCATAGTTTGGAGTTGACTTGAAGGTACATAACCTACATGTATTTTCTCTAAATATTTTATCAAGCTATATGTTTTTCTTTGACCATGTAATCTTTGTCTTCATCTATGTCAGAGGTGGGGAAATACAAAAGACTAGGGTAGTGCATTAACCCTTTAGGACAGTGGTTCTCAACTTGTGGGTCCCTAGATGTTTTGGCCTTCAACTCCCAAAAATCCTAACAGCTGGTAAACTGACTGGGATTTCTGGGAGTTGTAGGTCAAAACACCTGGGGACTCACAGGTTGAGAATCACTGCTTTAGGAGATCTTGGAGGGCTGGAACCTCTACTATATCTGCTCCTGATGCCCTCAAACCTGTATAGATGACATGAGACATGGTTTTGGACCTTTCTGGGCTCCTGGAAAACACTTTGAGACAAAACGTTTTAGAAGAAAAAAAATTGCAAATATGTTTTGACCCCATTCACCTGCAGCCCAGAGTACATTTTCCCACCACAGCCTACCTATTATATCATTTGTCTTTAAACAGCCTGATGAGTAATAAAACATACAGTTATTATGTGTTCATTTAAATCACATATTGGGTTTAAATTGCGCTTGTCCTCTATGGTAGGTTGCTTCAAATAGTGCTAAATAAAAATCTCAAACACCACTCTTTCTTCAACAGGATGTTTGATGTAGGTGGACAGAGGTCAGAGCGCAAAAAGTGGATCCACTGCTTTGAAGGGGTGACCTGCATCATCTTCTGTGGAGCTCTCAGTGCTTATGACATGGTGTTGGTAGAAGATGATGAAGTGGTATGTTTTCTGGTTCACTCTATGTCATGCACAGAGAAAAATGAGGAAAGCCCTCTTTGCAGGTGCCAACTAAGTTTCAACCCATGGGCTCCAATGGTGGCTGGAAAAGGCCACTAGAGAGTGACAGGTTGTGTGCCACTTTCTCTTCTGGACTGGAATATATCCCTCCTCATGGACGAGTGGTGACCTGGGAATCTCCAAAGGATAGACTTTTGCTTCATGGTCTAACAGTTAAAGTTCCCAAATCGATGTGCAGGGTCAATGAGTTCTCCACTGCTGACCACATCTGCCTGTGATGCAAAATTCAAAAACGAGGCTGACATAAACTTCATCTTAGTCAACCCCCACACCACCACAGAATATATACAGTGGTTCCCAAAATCTAGCCTTAAGCTCAAAGTTGTGCACAACACATTGAAGAAAATAAAGAGCCCTCAGGTACTTACTGCTTTATTGGCCACATCATGCTGCTCTGATGCAAGTCCAAGAAGTGGAACAACATTATCCTGACATTGGCTTAACCCCTGCCTGAAATTAAATGTCTTTCAGTAAGCAGTTAAGAAGTTGGGAGGTGGGATTAACTTGCGCAGAACAGCTACAACCTGTAACTAGTTCATCCCAATCTTCTATGTGCACTATAAGGATGAGGAGAACCTCATCAGCCTACGTCAAAAGTGACATCAGTGTTAATGAGACAGAGCAGGCTATTGCAAATACATGAATAATAAGGCTTCCCTTTCTACTTATACCAAAGGGTTCCTGAGAATGGGAAGGTGATCTGCTCAGTTTCTTTAAAACAAGAAGAACCAGAAACACTATGTTGATTTTCAAAAGGGAAGTGTAACTCATATAGACTTGCCCATTTTTGCAAAATGGGCAAGTCGCTCAACATTACTTCCCCGAACTGTACTAAAACAGACAAGCAAAAAGTAGCCTTGTGGTATTTGCTTAATTTTGTTTTTTACTAGGTCTCTGAGATCCATGAACTAGAGCCAAAGCTCTACATAGTGGCTAAATGGGAGAAAAAGAACTAGATAAGAATACAGTTAAGCCATAGGTGGGGGGAAATGTGGGATGCATCCTAGAACACCCTGGGGTTTTTTTTTTGAACAGCTAAAATTAGTGCTCCAATCACCCCCAAATCCCCATCACAAGAAAAATGGCTGAGAACAAAGCAGCACATCACGAGTGTATTATAGCAGTAGAGAGGTGGGTGCAATGTTCCACTTGCCAATGCAGTTGCCCATGCCTTCTCTCTATGAGCTCAGGCTTTGTGTAAGCTTCTGTCCAAATATGGTACGTATTATGATAGGGAGGGAGGACAGGTATGCTTAAAAACAATTAAAAGTCACCAACCTTGCCAATCTGCTTTCTCTCACCTGCACCTCTATCAGCATCCTGATCTAAATTATGCCCATCCCTACACTAAAACATGGATAAATGTTATCTTCACCAGCAGCATTAGACTGTTGGAAGTCTAACCAAAAGAAACATCAAAGCAGTTCACATAACAAGTTGTGCAATTTTTGCATGATTCAGTGATTCAGCCCTGAAGCCTGTTTACTACAGCCTCTATCAAGACCAATAAAATTTTCCACTGTTTTCATGGCCCAAAGTAGCAAACCTTACCTTCCAAAACAAGGAAACTGCAAGGAAACTATGACTGCTGCAACTTTCTGAGAGAGTAAAAGTATTAAGGAGACTCAAATAAAATATGTGGACTTTTCTTTCAACCTTAGATTTTTGAAGAACTTCCTGTGAGAGGTGTTCAGCAGTGGAACTCTCTGCCCCAGAGTATGGTGGAGGCACCTTCTTTGAATGCTTTTAAACAGAGGCTGGATGTGTTGTCAAAAGCTTTCATGGCTGGAATCTCTGGGTTGCTGTATTGTTTGGGCTGTATGGCCATGTTCCAGAAGCATTTGCTCCTGACATTTTGCCTGCATCTATGGCAGGCATCCTCAGAGGTTGAGATCTGGATGGCCATCTGTCAGAGTTCTTTGAATGCGATTTTCCTGCTTCTTGGCAGGGGGTTGGACTGGATGGCCCATGAGATCTCTTCCAACCCTTTGATTCTAGGTGGAAGGAGATAATCCTGCAGTATTCTCTCAGAACTGCCATTTCTAAAGCTGTTTCTCAAGAGTCTGAGGGGAACTCAGAAAAAAATTTCCAAAAGAAAATCACGCCCTAACCCACTTTTTCATTACTTTTAAGGTGCTAGATCCGACCTTTTTCTTTGTTTAAAAATAATGCATTTTTCTCAATCATTTTATTTTTAAATTTTTTAAAAGATGTGTTTTGGAAAAAAGCACATTAATTATTGCATAATATATGAATTCATATCCAATCATGTTTTGGTTGTATTGTTTATTCTATGGGAGCATATTTGTCTTCCCATAAGGAATACAGCTTCAAGTTTAAAATTAATGTATTACCAAATTTAGGAATAAACCTCTATTTTCACTCTCTGTTCTAACAGCTCTAGAAATTACTGTTGCCTTCATTTGTTCCTGCACTCCCACTTCTTCTGAATTTTTGTTTTTCCAGCTGTAAACAGTATAATCAGCATGCAGACCTCAGTTTTCCATTCTTAATGTTGCACCAACATGATTGAATTCTCTTCCTGCCCTGTCCCTATGTTCCCTGCAAACAAGCTCCTGAGGGTTTCCCCGCTTGATGAAGCAGATCTTTGGGGTACAGTGGAAGTGGCTGCAGTGTTTTTGGGAAGAACACTGGATGCTGATGTTGTGCATGTTAGATCCTATATTGTGACTATAATTTAGCAAACTAGTTTTCATAGTACAGTCAGCTCTCCACATTTGCGGATTTTATTATTCAGGTTTGATTAAAATGTTCTCTATGAATCTCTAGGTCCTCTAGATGCTTTTTTCATGTCAGGAGCAACTTGAGAAACTGCAAGTCGCTTCTGGTGTGAGAGAATTGGCTGTCTGTAAGGACGTTGCCTAAGGGATTCCCAGATGTTTTGATGTTTTACCATCCTTGTGGGAGGCTTCTCTCATGTCCCTGCATGGGGAGCTGGAGCTGACAGAGGGAGCTCAACCTGCTTTCCCCAGATTTGAACTTCTGACCTGTCGGTCAGCAATCCTGTCGGCACAAGAGTTAACTCCAGAAACTGACCATAAATAAGACCTATGAATCTCTAGATTCTGCAGTGCAATCCAACCGCCAGTTTCCAGGAGTTAACTATAAAGTCAATTGGAGGACCTAAACATTCTTAAGAGAGATGTTTGGTGAGGTTATAAAAATTGCAATTTTAAAATTCGCCGTTTTTAACTTTAGCAAACTTCTATGTCTTTAACTCCAGCGAATGTGGAGGGCTGAGTGCATTTGATCTGCTTCAAATACTAATTGCTGCTTTTAAAGTTTACATGTACACCTGGAGATGTTCCCAAGTGGTGGGGAAGGGCGAATACTCTTCAAAAATCAAGTTTTTTTACTGACTATCTCAGAATCCTCACAACTTAGGGATCCATTACTGCCTTTCCTTGTTTTGTCCCTTTTTGTGCCTGCAAAGCCAATTAGGGTAAATGTAACTTTGTCCTGCCTGTGTGCGCGCGTTTTTTAAAAGGTGTGTTGAGAGCCTGAAATTGAAATAACCAAGCCTTTAGAACCATGGAATAGTTTCTGATGGGAGTCTAGCGGTGTTTTGAAAACAAACTGAACAGATACTTGGCACAAAATGTTGAAGTTTGTTTTAAAACTTGTTTTCTTCTCTGCAGAACCGCATGCACGAGTCTTTGCATCTGTTCAACAGTATATGCAATCATAAGTTCTTTGCTGCTACCTCTATCATTCTCTTTCTGAACAAGAAGGACCTTTTTGAGGAAAAGATCAAGAAAGTACATCTCAGTATTTGTTTCCCAGATTATGACGGTAGGTTGCTCTTTTCCTCATTTCTATTTTGCCCAAGGAAGCTGATTCACACATGACAATTTTCTACATTGCAGAATGCTATCACACTTGAAAAGGATCTGTTTTCAGTCATCACTGACTCCCTTTTCCTCTTGTATAAATGGTGTCATGTATGAATAACTTTCCTCTTAAAACAGATTTAAAGATTGAACTGTTGAAATAAAACACAGCATCTCCTTTGTGAGAAACACGCCTTTGAGTAAACAACTTCTTGATGCACCAAGTAATCATTCACTATCCTCATTGCAAGTTCCAAAAACAATTTTTAAAACTATTCTGTTTACCACGAAGTATACAAATTCACTTCCATTTTCATTGAATTTAGTCTGAAGGCTACATTTCTACTCTTTTTTATAGAGAGGCACAGGGTTTTTTGTTTTTTCCCATGTACAGGCAGTCCCCAAGTTACGAACAAGTTAGGTTCTGATGATTTGTTTGTAAGTTGGAAAAGGTACATTTTTAAGTGTAAGTCCAGCCAATTTTTTTTTAAGTTTTGGATGGCATAGGGAAGGGTTCACACCCCTGTGGTGTTTTGCTGTGTATCCCTGTTCAGAAGATTTCACCTCACTTTGTCCCTGATAATTGGATTTTGAAAAATTTGACTTGTGAAAACAAGGATTGGCGAGAAAGCTTCCCCATGATAACTTTTTCGGTAGTAAATTTTCCTTCAGAAGGGTAGATTTCTCTCAATTCCTGTTGACTCACCCTATTTGTAACTATGAGTCGTTTGTAAATTGGATGTTTGTAACTCAGAGACAGTCTGTAGTTGAAAATCACTTTGCAAAGTATTGCTCAAGAAAGTGTTTACGCACTAAAGAAATTTCCTTTCAAGCAAGAGATGAAGTTGCAAGAAACAAACATGAAATGGACTTGGATCATCAAGGCAGAACTCTATTCACAGGAAGCCCTCGTTGGTGGAGTTTTCCAGGGCACTGTCCCTCTGAAATAGGGTGACAGGTAAATAGGGAAGAAGGAATTATTGAAATTCACTTCCATCAGCAACAGGCAATTCCCTTGGATAAAAGACCCTTCCTCATTGAAATATTTAGCCATAATTTTCAAATAAACTAAGTTTCTTTGCAACATTTCCATCTCTCATGTTTACCTTTGGCCAACAGGTCCCAATACATTTGAAGATGCAGGCAACTACATTAAGCTTCAGTTTCTGGATCTGAACATGAGAAAAGATGTGAAAGAAATCTACAGTCACATGACTTGTGCCACAGACACACAGAACGTCAAATTTGTATTTGACGCCGTCACAGATGTCATCATCAAGGAGAACCTCAAAGATTGTGGTCTCTTCTAAATCTTCATTTTTAAAGGTAATCTAAAGGTAACCATCCTACAGGTAATAAGCTGTTTTTATAGTGCTTTTCTGGAAAAACAGATAGATGACAAACTAATTTTTACACCTGATTTTGCATTCAAATTTATCCCAGCAGTCCAAAGCTATGACAATTAGTGCTATGAATACTTGAACCAAGCACTTGAATTCTGAAACAGTTTCCCCAGTTCGTTTGCATATGAATATCTCTTCATTAACTGGAACATAACATTGTATAGTTACATAGCTAAATAAGAGAACTGGGTTCACACATAAAAAGGGAGAAGCAAGAGATTTTCCCAGGCTCAGCCAGGCCTTCAAATGCTAATGAAGGTGGTCAGTTGAAACATTCACACCTAGCTCCAGCAGAGAAAAGCTTTTTGCCCCACCCCAGCCATTCCACAGATATATAAACCCATTGTCCTAATTCCAACAGACCTCACTACCTCTGAGGATGCTTGCCATAGATAAGGCAAACGTCAGGAGAAATGCCTCTAGAACATGGCTCTATAGCCCGAAAAAACCCACAAGAACCTAGTCTACTGAATTCCTTTTACATTGAGATAAGCCAGCATGCTGACTCTTTGCCTTGCTTCTTTGTAGTGAGAGTAGCTGAATAATCCACATATTCTGTTCATGGTTTATTTGTCACAATACCTCAACCTAGCCTGTGCTCTGGTTCATGGTTGTTTACCCACTTGACCAGCAAATGAAAGTAATCAGGCATCAAAAGGCAACAGGGTGACTTCCTTATGAGCAGCAGGAAATTATTTCTGCACTTACACCAGGTATGAGCAAACCCAGGCTTGGGGGCGGGATGTGGCCCTTTGGACTCTTTTCTCCGGTGCCCCCCTCTCTCTAATGGATACACTTTTTCTCTCCCATCCACCATCTCATCCTGACCAAGGCTAACCCTTTTGGGATCCAAATGTTTCCTGTCTTTCCTTCACTGTGCACACCATAGGGTTTGAGAAGATGGGGAGGAAAGAGCAGGGAGGGGAATTAGCAAGAACCCCCTCCCTCACGGTCCGCCCACCCTGTGGCCTCCAAGTTAGAAAGTTTGCCCATGCCTGATTTACACTGTACCATTTGAACACTTCCAATAGGTTGGATTCAGGATATGCCTTCAGTGGATTTGTTTGGAAATACATTATGAAATTTTAAAATGCTGCAATGTAATTTTTGTTTCATTTCTCAAAGTACTCTTTCATCTTCTTCATTAATTAGGAAAAAGGACTTCCAGATAGCTTCACTTTTCTGCTGAGCAGAGCCAACGGAGTAAATAGAAGTCACTCGACGGCCCACACTTTTCTATTTCCCATCCATGATGCAAACTGTGTATTTGTAGTAACATGATTTTCCTCCTTTCTTATATACTCTGCAATTTTGTTTGTTCTGAAACAACAAGAGGAACAACAACCCAAATCATCTTGTCTGGAAACAAGGCATCATGTGAGAAACATTGGATTTTAATGACTCTATACAGCTGTGATCGTAAAAAAAAAAGCATCACACTTCTGTGGGAAAAACACAATCAGCGCTTTTGTGGATTCTGTGATAGAATGGTACACTTCCTTTATCTAGAAATGGTCTGATCTGTGATCCTGTTGATTGTCAAAATCATGATCCGTTAAAACCCAAGTCCAGTAATTCCTATATTTTATTTGTGGTCAACGAAACACAGAAGATTGGTTGACATTTTAAAAATCTGATTACATTTGATACAGTATGTCCCCACAGCCTTAAGTAGGTAATTTATCTTCTTTCCAATATTCAACTCCATCAGTACTGAAGGGGTAATGAATCAAAACCATCTCTTTCTCTCCACACCAACAAAACCCACAGAATATATCCCAACCCAGTTGCTTTACTTCTTGCTGTGGAGACAACTGCTCTAGCTGTTTCACTGTCCCTGTTATTAAAAGGTCACAACAGTGTACAAAACAAAGCTATGCACACCATAGGATTAGAGAACTTCTCCTCACATATAGAAAATAGAGAGAAAGGATTCAAAGTGGAAATTACTATGTCAGGATTCTCATTTTGGTATTTAGAACTGTATTGTTCTTGACCATTTGTAAATAAGTCTCATGTTACTAGACAAGATTCTCTTTGTATTAATATTTATTGGGAAAAAGGCTTATTTAGCTTCGACTAAATGTAGAAAATCCAAAAATAAAGAAATGTGCATTAAAATGTTGACAGTGTTATCTATTTTGAATTTTTAAATTTACTACCTCAGCTTTTATTTTGGCTTCCAAAAATCATCCAATACATTTTCATGTGACAAACACTGTGCTTTAATGTCTTAGGTATGAAGGCCTAAGAGGAAAAGAATCAGTACAATGCAATGTTCAATAGTGTATTCAAAACACTGTGGAGTCAAATTTTATCTGGGACAAAAAATCACATGCATATTCAGTGACTACATCATTAAAGTGTGGCTTGCATGTGTGAAATTTTCACAAAACAAAGCTCAGATAGATGTTAAATATGACTTTAAACACTGCTTTTCAACTAAAACATTTAGCTTATGAAATACTGTGTGCTTAAACATGCATGTATGAAATCAGCCCTGAGTGTTGTTGGGCAAGTTACAGTTAGTTCACCATGTGAAAACTGAGTACGTCGCCTTACAGTGCTGGTGCAAGCTAAACACTAAATTACCAACGCCATTGTACCAAAGTGTGCAAACAAAGACATGTAGGAAGCTTTTCATGTGGTGAAAATTTGTTTTTAATTTCTGCTGTAATTTAAATCATTGTAGCCTATAGTAAATAGCCACTGTAATATCCTGCAAAGTGCCCCCTTCCCGTCTCAGCCTTATTTGAGTAAGACAGGGAGCTTGTGGCTTGCCAGATGTTGTTGGAGATCCCTCATTATCAGCTATGCTGGTGAAGGTTGAGGAAATTGCAGTCAACACTGGAGTGCTATATGCTTCCCCGCCCATAACGTAAGCTATGTGCATCAATGCTATGGAAACCCAGCATCAGAACTGTTCAGAAATGGACACAAAAGGCTCCAGAGGTATTATTACACAAAAGGTTAGTAATACCAAAGAGCGAATTTATCTAGCTAAAATCTTTATTTGCAGAAAATGGAAATGCAATGAAGAGAAAAGTGGCAAATATTTCTAGATCACATCTAGAAAGGCCTCCAATAACATTAGGAACATTTAAGATTTTTAACTCACTTTTTTAATATTGCCAATTACTACATCAGGTTGAAACTGTACATGACAAATTGGGTAAAGAGTCTCAGTGTAATGGTTTCAGCAAAGAAATGTACTGACTCGGCTTAAGAACATCACTACAGTAAAAACAGTGGCAAACAGGAACTTGGCACCACATGTACAAAGTAAAGGCATGCTGTTTCAATATACAGTTTTGAAATCTCAGAAGACGAAAGGCCCTGGTAAATGCAGAACAAATTGCACCATCAACGAAATTCCCCACTGGTTTAAAACCAAACAAACACACACAGACAGACAGACAATTAAGTGGTTGATTAAGTAGCTATGCAGCAGTACATACTTTCCCCTTCCGTTCAGAATATTACAGCTAACCTTTCAATTGGAAACCACCCTGGGCATTTTATGTAATCAGATTTCCACCGTCTACGCTAGCAGCACACTCTTGAGATTTGGTAATCAGCATAAACCAGGCAAACCCTACCCAACTCGTAAGTCAGAAAAAAAGCCTGTCACCCTGCTACATGAAATCTATTTTTGGGGAAAGGGAGAAAGCCTTACAGTGTTTTTAAGCAGAATTGTAACAAAGGATATACCAGAAGAAGCCACAGCTTTAGCCATAAGAATTCTAAGGCCCTTTTGAGTCATTGCAGTAATATGAAGTCCTGACCACACCAAGATTAAAAACAAAAGGTTCCTGCTAAGAGGAATACTTTCTGCATGATCTGGTCACATGTGCATAGTTAAGTGTTTGTTTTTAAAACATGATCATTTGCACACACAGAAACAAAATTTAGTTGAGATATAGTACTGACGGAAACGTCTTAAAAACAGAGCAGAAGTGGCTTATTAAAGAAAAAAAAGGAAGCTACATACTGAAGTTCTGGGATATTAACTTCATAACAGCTGTACATTTTTTAAACTTTACTATCCAAATGGTGCCTGGATGATCAAAAAAACCACATTTAACAGTAGTTCCGATTTTTGGATTCTAACTGCAGCATCCCATCCCAATAGAAAGGTCCCTAGTACAGAAGATTGTGCTAAAGAATGCAAGGACTTTGCATGCTGTTTTCATTCCCCAGTTCTGTTCATGCTTGCAGCTGTCCTACAAGGCAGCAAATAAACAGTCCATTTCTTAAAATACTATATCCTGGAATCTGAAAGAAAAAAAAGTTCATATTAAATCCTGGTAAAAAATGTATGCAATGCCAAAACTCAGAAAAGTTTGCAGAACACATAATTTACCTTCCATGGTCACTCTCCTTTTAGTAGAGTCCACATTCCTTCAGGTTGTTTTTAATTATAACATCTGTAACAGCATCAAAAACAAACTGGACATTCTTGGTGTCAGTGGCACAGGTGAAATGGGTGTAAATTTCCTTGGTGTCTTTTCTTCGGTTGAGATCTTCAAACTGGCACTGAATGTATGCAGCTGCTTCTTCGTATGTGTTAGAACCTAGAAAAAGAAGATATGGATCGTAACAGCTGTCTTGATGGATCAAATCAAAGACCAATCTGGTACAGTATCCTGTCACTTTACAGTAAGAAGCCAAGTACATGTTCAGAAGGAACACAAGTGGGCTACACAACGCACCTGTATCCCTAGTCAATAGCATTTATAGACAAACTTTTCCTTTAGGGGGTTGGTGGGTGAATGTGGTCAATTGTGTGCCCATACACAAGCACACCACGATTAGAAGATAACTTCTGGTATTCTACATACATTTTAAAGGTCCTTCAATTTAATTTATAGCTCTTTTGAAAAATCTGGTTTTGGTGATTAAATGTTGTTCAACCCACTATTATTTATGGTGATTTTTCAATACATTTCTTGAAAAAAATAGAAGAATGGAATTTACTTGTACTGAAGGGACACTTTGATAGTGTATATAGGCAGTCCCCGAGTTACAAATATCTGATTTACAAATGACTCATAATTAAGAACAGGGGTGAGATAACAGGAAATGAGAAAAATCTACCCCCTCAGAAGAGAAATTCACTTTTCAAAGTGTTATGTTGTGTGTCTCCACCGAAGCTTTCACACCAAGTTTTGTTTCCACAACAAGCCAATTTTTTTTTCAAAATCCAATTATCACAAGGACAGAAGGTGAGGGTTGGTTTTTTTTCCGTGTCAGGAGAGACTTGAGAAACTGCAAGTCATTTCTAGTGTGAGAGAACTGGCCATCTGCAAGGACATTGCCCAGGGGCCGCCTGGATGTTTTACCATCCTGTGGGAGGCTTCTCTCATGTCCCCGCATGAGAAGCTGGAGCTGTGGCCCTCCAGGTGCTCTGGGCCTCCACTCCCAGAATCTCTGCCAATCGGACAAGCTGGCTAGGCCTTTTGGGGGTTGGAGTTCCAAACACATGTAGGGTCACAAGTTATGCAGTTCAATCAAGGAAGCATGTGAGACAGCAACTACAAATAAGTTAGTGCAACAATAGGTTGCTTTAATCATGTTATGGCAAGCTGGTGAATACAGTAAGAAAGTAGGACTAGATTTCTTACTTAAAGTTGACTAACAAGAACATTGGAAAAGTCATGGCCCCCAAAGGAGTTTTTCATGTCCATCACACAAGTGAATTGCAAAGCCTTTTTGAAAACTCAAAATAATTTCAGCAACAGATTATTATGTATCATGGAGCAGTCACTGCTTTTGAGAGACAACATTCTCACTGACGGGTTGTTGTAGGTTTTTCCGGGCTATGTGGCCATGTTCTGGAGGCAATTTTTCTCCTGACGTTTCGCCTGCATCTATGGCAAGCATCCTCAGAGGTAATGAGGTCATTACCTCTGAGGATAATGACCTCATTACCTCTGAGGATGCTTGCCATAGATGCAGGCGAAACGTCAGGAGAAAAATTGCCTCCAGAACATGGCCATATAGCCCGGAAAAACCTACAACAACCCATGGATTCCGGCCATGAAAGCCTTCGACAATACATTCTCACTGACATTGAGAAATGCAACTTACTGGACTACAGTGAGCTCTCCTCACTGTAAAGTTTTTATTCTCTTTAATGTAAAGACCCAAGTCCACAATTTCACTTGTACATACCAACACAAACCATAATTGCCACCGAAATAACCCTGAAAGGATTGTGAAAGAGAACTGTAACACAATGACATTCTTTGAAAATAAATAAATAAGTCATTTAAGACCAATGAGTATATATTGCTAGGTTTATAGCCCAATCCTTCTGTAATGACAGGGTGCTTAAACTCAATGAACTGGATCCTGCCACAGTAATCATTAGAATAGACCCAATGACATACAACTCATTTATTTTAATAGTCTTAGGTAGAAACACTGTAGAA